ATATACATAAAATAGAATAAAATTTTAAAATAAAGTGAAGAGCCATAGATAAAGGGACCTGACTTCAGCCTCCAGCCTCCACACACCCATGTACACCTGTGCATGCATAGAAACACACACACACACACACACACACACACACACACACACACACACACACACACACACACAAACAAACACACACACACACACACACACACACACAGAAGGAAAGAGAGAGATTTCCTCCTGTTGCTTCCCAAAATGGCCAATAAACGCAAAGATGCTGACCAGCTTAATGAGAGAAATGCACAATGGAACCTCAAGGGGGCGCTCTGACACACTAGCCAGATGATAGCCCCGAGTGCTGGGGAGGATGAGGAGGAACTGGAACCCACACTGTGGGAATGCAGGAGGGAGCCTCTGCTCAGGGCAGTTTTTGCACCATCCATTAAAGCTCAGCATATGCCTGTGCTGTGATCCATCAGTTCCGTTTCTGGGCACTTATCCAACAGAATGAAGTGTTTAGGTCCACTCATTTACATATGCATATAGAACAACGTTCCGAGCAGTTTTATGCATAATTGTCTCAAACTGGAACTCACCCAAATGTCTGTCTACAGCAGAATGGGTAAATAAACTATAGACTGTTCATTCTATACCACACAGCTTGGGAAAGGGCGAACTTTCACACGGGCTTCCATGTAAATGGAGATGAGTTTAAATATGTCACACACAAAGAGAATGTATTTATGGGACTTTGAAAAAAAAAAAAAAGAATTGTCCATTAAGATAAAAGAAGCTAGAGCCACAGTTGTCCTTGAAGGTTACGACCAGGGAGAGGTACCCAGGAGTCTCTGGGGTAGCTGCAAGTGTGTGTGTGTGTGTGTGTGTGTGTGTGTGTGTGTGTATGTGTGCGCGCGTGCGCGCGCACATGTCATGTGAATATGGGTACACATTCACATACGTGCATGTGGGGCTCAGAGATGAACAGCAGGGGTCTTCTTCAGTTCCTCTCCACCTTGGTTTTTCCATGCAAAGTCTCTCTCCGGCTGAACCTGCGGGCCAGCATGCTGCTGGCTGGGCTCCACATGTCTCCCTAACCCAGCGCTGGCCTTCCAGGTATATGCCCCTACACCTGTCCCTTAGGAAAGTGCCGAGGATCAAACATCCCCAAGCCTCAATTTAAACCCCGACCATCATGACAACATGCCATAGTTTTTCCTCCCTGAAAATTGCTGGGAAATGCAATCCTTTTTTTTTTTTTTTCCTCTTCTCACTAGTCATTCTCGCCACCCACTCTTCGGTAAGAGTATTAGCAAAATGCGGTGAGCTTTGTTAAGACCTGCAGGATGGAAGAGAAAAACACCTCTCCCTATAGTGGAAGCTATGGTCTTTGCTTCTCTAGGATCTGGGGTTTGGCCCTCCAGCACCCCAGTGTTTCTCTCCCTCCCCTCCGTGGTTTCTCTGTTGCCACATCTTCCATTTTGATTGGGTTGACACAGTTGCGTCTACAGGACCAGGTCCTCTTTTGGAACAAATGCCTAAGCTTTCTATCAACAAACAAATCAATAGTCTCCGGGGCAGAGGGTCAGAAAAACAATTCTGCCACCTAGCATCTGTTTGCCAGTGATTCCTGCTTGTTAGAGTGCTTAACAAGGTGGGCAGAAGGGGGGTGGGGCTCTTCATATTCTCCAGGCAGGCAGGCAGGCAGAGGCAGCAGGCATCTCCTGTCCCTGTGTGTAGCCGATGGCATAGATCCAGTCAGTGTGTGCTGGGAAGAGCCCACTGCAGGAGGGGGGTGGGCAGAGTGCACTAGGGGAGGCTGGTGTAGGGAGATACTCTCAGAACAGCTCCTGCACTCCTGGAAGACAGTGTGCATGCAGTTATCCCAGTCTATGCACACAAGGCTCTGGGCCACCCACAAAGTCATCAGCCAATGGGTCAGAGTTCAGAGAAGAGCCGTGTAGACAAGCCAGGGGGCGATGACATTGATTTATGAGTGTAGACTGAAAGGGCTCCATCTGCATAACTTAATATAATGAGGATGAAGTTGTGGTCCTGGGAACTTCTCACAACGGGCGGGGAGGGGGGTGTTAAGGACGTGGACACACACCATGGAGGAAGGGAAAGAGAAGCTAATCGTGACTGGGAGAAAAGGTGCTGAAAACCTGTTGTTGCCATGGTTACCATCACCACCAGGTGACACCCCCACTGTCTCAACTAGAAAATGAAACAAAGCCCAGGATATGCTCTCTCCGGGAGTGGGCATGTTGTCACCAAGGCTTATTCACACAGATCCAATCTGGTCACAGATTCATTCACTCTCAAAGGGATGCCTGAATACCATCCAGCACAAGGTGCTGGATTAGACACTGGGGTTTGGGCTGAACTGAATGGGATCCAAAGGGTCCCCTTCCTCCTGGAAACTTCATGCTGGTAGAGGAAGAGAGCAAGAAGAAACAGGATGGGCAAAAATAAACACAGCAGCTTTTGATGACAGGGAGAGCCATGAAAACAGGAATCCTGCCTAGGGATAACGGGAGACTGTTACTGAACCCAGAGCACCCGGTGTCAGCTGGGCCGGCTGGACAGCTTACCATGGGCATCCCCATCTCTTCCTCCACGGTGTGCAGTTCCAGGTGGGCCACCACCTGCCCAGCTTTAACCTGGCCCCTGAGATCCCACCTCTGGTCCTCTCACTTGTACCACAGGTGTTTTATCCACTGAGCCATGTCCCCTCCGCCAGATCCTCAAGATGATCATAAATTCCCTGTCCATGTCACCAGAGGAGTGGGGGCCGATGAAGCCTCTCGGAAGAGGGAAAGACAGACAAGCATGTCCTAGGAATAGAACCAGTGTGTATGCAAAGACTGAGGTACCCTGGGCACCTAGAACTTTCCGGGGAGCAAAGGTGGGAAAAGAGGATGTTGTTGGAGTGGTCAGTGGCATGGGCTGGAGATGGAGGCACACAGGACAAGGTCATGATGTCCATACTCATACCAGAGGCTGCAAACTAAGCTCAGATGTCAGAAACAGCCAGGTCTATGCCTGTTTTAAGCATGGCCAAGGTAGAGCCTTGGTGAGCTAAGCTTTCCCAATTTTATTTTCTTACCCTAATATGAAAAATTAATTTGCCTTCCCTCAGCACATACCAGCTGGTTGATGTAGTTGATTGACCTGGGGGTCGGTTGATTGGCAGGGAGGAGGCAGCCTAGACTTGAAAATTTGCCATGCATAATCGACACAGTAGATGAATGACACTCAGTAATTTAAAGCCAAGTTGTAGATGAAATAAATCAGAAGAGAGCCACAGCAAAGAGGAGATTGGGACAGCAGGGTCCTTTGGTTCTCCGACAGTGCCCTGGGTCTCTGGGAATCCTGGGGAACAGGTTTGGGGGCTGCTGCCTTGGAGATCGCTCTGTGTATAAGAGAGAGGGAGTGTGTACTCACCAATTATTCACCAAGTGCTGCAGAATGCAGTGATTTGATTGACACTACTTCCTGAGGCGTGGCAGAACTGGCTAAGTGGTGTTTTCCACTGACGGGTGAGCCCTGCAGCCTTTGGGCTTAAACAGCCTTGGAGCCCGTGAACTGTCCGTGCTTCCTTAGAAGAGGAAGAGAAAATCCTCAGTGTGTGTGTGTGTGTGTGTGTGTGTGTGTGTGTGTTTCATGTGTATGTGTTCTCATGTGTAAGTCTGTATAGGTCTGCAGGTGTGTGTGTGTGTGTGTGTGTGTGTGTGTGTGTGTGTGTGTGTGTGTGTTGGATCCATGTGTATTCACATGAATAAGTGTGTATCTGTCTGCAACTGAAGTGTATGGGAATGTGGTTGTGGACATGAAGTTGATGTGGATGTCTTCAGTCACTCCCCACTTCATCTTTTGAGGCAGGGTCTCTTGCTGAGCTTGGAGCTTGGCCAGTTTCCACTAGTCTAGCTAAATGGCTTGTCCCCAGGATCCCATCTCTGCCTCATGTGTGCCGAGATTACAGGCCACCAGGCATGCTTGGCGTTTGTGTGGCTTCGGGGGATCCTAACACAAGTCATCGTGTTTCCTTAACAGTCCCTTTATCTACCGAACCATTTCCCCAGTCCCAAACTCTCAGATGATCTCAAGTCCCTGTTCCAGGTCACTGCAAAAATGCACAGAGATGCTCATGTGGTAAGGTGCTTAAGGATCTGTGCTACACGCTCAGAACCCAAATACAGAAAGAAAAAAAAAAGCCAAAAAGAGAGATATGGCATCTCAAAAACAGGTGCCTGAGAAATGACACCCAAGGTTATCCTCTGGCTTCCACATAACACAGGCACATATATGCACATGCATACAAACATATTCACACACACAATTCACAGAGAAATGGAACTAGGTAGGATATGCCTTTAATCCCAACACTTGAGTAGATAAGGTAAAAGGATTGCCAAGTGTTTGAAGCTAGCCTGCTCTACAGAATAACACCAAACACCAAAAAGAAAAAAAGAAAAAGAAATACTAATGCAGAGACCATCTCATTGCTCCCCAGTATTTAATCTCCTGGATTTCACACCTGGGTCCCCAGCTTTCTGGATTCAACTCTTGGTTGGACCCACATTAACTTGTGGGTTACATCCTCTTGGATGGCACCAGGTATGGTGTTCCAGCTGTATGCACATTGGCTCGCAATGACTGACTTTTTTCCAACTCTATCTCCCCTTGTTTTCTGGGAGTTGTCTGAGGACAGAAATCAGGCCCTTCATGAAGGCGTTGGAGTCACATGAAGTCACAGGGCCCTTGACTTCCACCAGCCCCTTATGCTATTCACACCCCTCTGCTCTGCTTCTTCAGGGATGACGGCAATTCCCTGTGCCTGCCTGGGCATCTTCCTTGGTGGCCTCTTGGTGAAGAAGCTGAGCCTGTCTGCTCTGGGGGCCATTCGGATGGCCATGCTGGTCAACCTAGTGTCCACAGCCTGCTACGTCTCCTTCCTCTTCCTGGGCTGTGACACGGGACCTGTGGCTGGGGTCACTGTTCCCTATGGAAACAAGTAAGTACCTAAACTCTTAGCTTGACCCTGCCTGGGGACACCTTCACTGTGGTTCATAGAGCTGGCTCAGCCCTGCTCAGGGACATCAAGACTTTCTACCAGAGGCTAATAGAGCTGGCTTGGTCACTAGTGATCCTGAGTGGAGAAGCCCAGGAGACCTCAGCTTCTTCCATGCAGTTGGAAGACTCAGCCTGTCCTCTGAGAACTGACCTTTTCTCCACCGTGGCAAGACAGTCTCAAGAGCAGGACAGTCACTCATTCTCCAGTCCACTTGCTCTTTCTGACATTTGACCCCAGGAATAATGTGAAGATAGAAAATAAAAACAAACCTTATTTCAAAATTCAGCTTAAAATAAAGGACAGAACCAATTTCAATAATTCCTGCATGAGCCAGAAGCTGCCATCCAGCTCACATAGTCATTACTAAGTCTGGCCCTTGGTGAGCGTGGTGGGGGAAGAAAGGGAGGGGGGGGAGCAGGGACCAGCCAGTTGCTATGGTGTCTCTTTTCTTATGCCCTGGTTATTATCCCAGGACTGTGGACCAGAGTCCCCATAGCAATTGCTCTTCAAATAAATTATGGGATGTATACATGGGGATGTATTGTCTCTTGGTCCAGCATCTCCTTTCCTGGCAGGACTCTGAGACCACCTTGAGCTGTGGAGTCTAGCCCAGACATGCTGCACTGTGGCTACCCTGCAGGTTACACAGTCAGGCTCCTCCTCCAGGCAGGCCCCTGGGCTGCAATGAAGTCTGCAGACTGGGTAGAACTGGGGCCCATCTGCCACCCCTTGAGAGTGACAGGAAAAGCAAGAGGCAGCTTCTCACAGACCTGGGTGCACTTCAGGCAGCCCCCAGTTCCTCTTGCACCCAGAGTCCGCTCTGGTTGGCGTTTGGCTCTCAACAGCGGCCCTCACTGTGCTCAGCTCGTGAGCAGTAAACCGCGGCGATTAGAATCCCATGCGCAGGGTCACGGAGCAATGACATCCAGCTGTAAAAATGAAAAACAGATAAACAGTTCAAGGCCCGCGGTCACCCTGCCCAGCTCTAACTCATTCTCGACACTCAGGCGCTACATACTTTGAGGCAAATGGTTCAGCTGGTCCAGCCTCGATTTCCCTTTTGACAAAGCTTGTGGGGTTGTACTGGGAACAAACAAAATGACATGTAGAGTTCCTTCAACAGAGCATGATAGAAACAGCCAGGGGGACCCATGTCACCTGTGTTATCGGGAGGTCCTCTGAGCCTCAAGCAGAGCAGGAAGTGGGGGTGCTGAAGTCACTTCCTTCTGGGGTCCCCCTGTGTCTCCCCAGTTTGTGTGCTCTTGGTAACTGCATCATTGCAATGCATAGGCTATAAGTATAAAGCGCCTTAGCATTCAGGATATATCATGGGTTAATGAACTAGACGGTGGCTATTGAAACCACGCTGGGCATCCTACATGCCAGAGAGAGAAAAACAGGCGGGGTTGGGGGTGGGGTCCAGCTGCAGGAGGAGTTGTGGGGTAGGGCGGACTGCAGCCATCTAGAAAAATGTCCTGGAGTGGCTAACACTAAGCCCCAGGTGCCATCAGCTCAAAGGACCCATGGTTAGAAATTACAAAAAAAATAAATAAATAAATAAATAAAAATAAATAAATAAATCTTCCCCCTCACTTTGATGGAAGACCGAAAGGGGTACAGCAGTGTGGGCTCTCAGCAGTGGTCCTGGACAGACACGGCCAGGTCAGCCAGGGCTAAGATAGGAAGACTGAAGAGAGAAAGGATGGGCAGACCACCCTGAGCGAGGACACGGCCGCGCCCATCATGGCAGAATGCGATCAACCGTGCCGGTCCATCCCAGCTTCTAACGGAGTCCCCTGAACTCTTCTTTTCCAGCTCAGCACGCGGCCCCGCCCTTGACCCCTACTCTCTGTGCAACAAGAACTGTGAATGCCAGACCGATTCCTTCACCCCGGTGTGTGGGGCCGATGGCATCACCTACCTGTCAGCCTGCTTCGCTGGCTGCAATAGTACGGTAATTGAAACCTCCGGCCTCGGGGGGGGGGGGGGGGGGGGGGGGGGGGGGGGGGGGGGGGGGAGTGTGAGGGGCGGGGGGGGGAGTGTGGGGGACGGGGAGAAGGGTAGGATCCCAGCCGCCACAGCTGCTCACAGGCCAGGGGCCAGGTTTGTCTCTTTTCACTTTGCTGCGGCTCTTTCTTTGCCCTGGTCTAAGAAAGAATCCTCCACCAGGAGGCTAACGGGGCAAGTCAGTTCCTCGGGCCTGTGCTCAATCAAAAGGGCTCCTAAGACACTTCCCGGAGCAACTGAAAGTCAAACTCAAAGGGAACTGTGGATATGCAGCTGGGAAAAAAGGGGCTGTGGCACGAGGTACTCACAAAAGGTGGCAGGGACTTGAGCTGTGTGCGGTGGTGAGCTGCCCACCACAGAAGTAAGTAGAAACGGGAAAACCCCGAGACTCAAAGGAGCCCTGCCTCCTCCATGCCTGCTCCGTTCCCTTTGCCTCTTTCTTCCCAGCTAAACGTCTCCTACCTCTTCTCTCTTCCCACCATGCTTTTGATTTTCCTCCTCCTTAACAGGGAAGTTTTCCTTTGTCCGCCCGCCGGCCATCATCCGCATTCTCTGTGTGGGCACCTGGTACCAAGTGCCCTGCTGTGCGGTCCTGTTGTCCCCGCCTCCCAGGTGCCGCCCCCACCTCTTCCTTGTCTGTACCATACTGCCACTGTCCCAATGCAGGCTGTCCCCTCCTCCTGTCTGGACCCATGCAGCAGTCCCCGATCCAGCCTTCCAGGGCAGCCGCCTTCGGATGTCTTCCACACTACAGCCAGAGGACGTCTGTGACACTTCAGATGACCCTTCTGTGCACTGCCCTGTAGAGCGCTGAGCCCGGTTCACTTCACGTGCATCTTCAACTCTCATCTCCAGCGGTCTCCTTTCCCTCTAGATCAGTGGTTCTCGATCTGTGGGTTGTGATGCTCCCCTGGGAGTCAAAAGACCCTTTCATAGGGGTCACCTAAGACCATTGGAAAACACAGAAATTGACATTACAATTCATAACAGTCCCCAGATTGCAATTATGAAGTAGCAACCAGGATAATTTTATAGTTGGGGGCCACCGTAACATGAGGAACTGTGTTAAAGGGTCACAACATTAAGAAGGTTGAGAACCACTGCTCTACATGGCTGTTCAGCCTTCTCTCTATCTCCAACTGAACAACTCCTACTCATCCCTCAATACCCTATTTGAATGCCTGCTACTCTGAAACAATCCCTTATTTCTCCCTTTGGAGTTCTTGCCTTTGAGTCTCCAGACTCCTGTTCCTTCCTGGGTCTATTTGTCTCTTTTGCTGTAGTAGTCTTCTAGAAGTGTCTGTCTCTGATCTTTGGGTTTCTTGAACTAGGGACACTATTGCCTGACAAGTAATTCATAATTTCTCAGACGCTGCGCAGATGGGAAGGGAAAGATACTTGCCAGGGGGCTGCTTTCAGGGAACTAATTCAAGTCATTTCTTTCCTCCCTGCCCTGCCTCCTGCATCTTAAAGAGCAGGAGTTCCCTGAAAGGAAAAAAAAATGAATCATTTGTTTTCATTTTCAAAGATTTCATTTTTGCATGCTTTTAGGATTTAGATTCCTGGCCAGTTATTAACATTTTCTATAAAGAAAATAAATCACTGCAGATTGGGGGCTGGGAAGACCCAGTTTTATAAACTAGATGATAAAGCAATTTCTTTATGTGAGTGGAAGTAAATATTAAAAGGGGGTTGGGACCCGAAGAGTGGTTCAAATAAAAGCACAAGCTATTATTTCTCATAAGACATTTTAATATCCAGAAAGTTCTGTTAACAGCCTCAGCTATTGTCCTGTGATAGACCCCTATGACTCTGTGTAGCCTTGTTCTGAGGCCCAACAGGCCTTTTATTCCAGGGCACACTGACCCAAACCTGAAGGATCTGCGCTTCCTCTGATCTTGCATGGTTAAGAGGTTTATTGAGTAACAGCCTGTTGAAGCCGTGTGTTCACTTGTAGCTGAGGTAGCTGAATAGCTGAGGGGTGTCATGCCAGGACAGCAGGCTAAGGGGGAGTTCGGGACATGACTCTCACTCCCCAGACACCTGCTCTCCATCTGTGACTTGGAGCCTCACCTTGCCTTCTAGGGTGGTCATGGGGTTCCACCCTTGACCACTGAGGCAGGCCTCTAAGTGGCCCTGGCTTTGGAGACAGAGTCCTGTTCATCCTGAATGGGGCCTTTGTAGTAGCTAAGCCTTAAAGACAACCCTCTGTAGAGCTTGCAGGAGCTGCAGGCTGAGAGCCTGGGTCAGGCCAGGTAAGGGGTCTCCCCTGCTTCACTCGTGGCTCATGACAATGTGGCCTCTAGTCAAGAGGATTCTCGGGATGACATCCAAAGAATGAGCAAATGGCAATTTGAGTCTTTCGAATCTCGAATCTCTGGGCAGTGTTTTGAAGGAACGCCAAACAAAAGCTTATGTTCCTGGTGTGGGAGTCCACGCTCCCTTCCCCCTTTTCTTCTTTTAGCTTTCTTTCCTTCTGGTCTCAGGGTTCTCAGTAGGACTCTTCCCTATGTGAAGCCCCCTCCCCCCCCCATTTCCCATGGCTCCGTTCCCTGTCTCTAGAGAGCAGGCTGTCTCCGTGTGGACTCAGCCCTTCCCTGTAGGTTTCCTGGGCCCTTCTGTCCTGTCTGTATCTCTGCCTATATGTGTGACTATGTATGACTCTTCCATGCAAACCTGTGTTAGCTCCCCAGGATCAAAGGGTAGAATGTGGCGGAATTCTGGGACCCTCTGAGCCAAACCCAGCATCTTTCTCTGTACTCTGCCACTCATTTTTGGGATGCCGACCTGCTTTTTCTACAGGAAACAGTGTCTTCATGCCCACTGCCCACACTCAATACATTTAGCCTTCATGTCTGCCCTGGCTGCCTCTCCAGCCTCAGCCTCCCTTCTCCTCCTGTCTCCTAACCAACCCCTTGTTCAGTGAAACGCTGCTCTCCTTTGCCCCTGGGCCTTTGCACATGCTGTATAGAATAGTGTCCCCTGTGGATGTGGGTCCGTCTTGCCTCCCCCCCCCCCCAGGGCTCAGCCTCTCTTTGTACTTTCCCTGCTCGTAAAGTGCTGTCTCCTACCTCAGCCCGGTATCAAGACAATGTGTGTGCCCTTCCACCTTCCACCACACCTATTCCCACCTAGCATGATTTAAAGCTCAACTGTTCCAATGGCTCGTTTACGTCAGCATCTCAGTCCCTCACCTGGTTTCAGGGATGGGGCTTTGTTGTAGATCTCTCCTCCTCACAGTTCCAGGTAGAGCTCTGGATAAAGGCCCAGACTTCCCAAATGTCCCCGGGTGCTCCCATGCAACCTCCAACAGGTGACTCCAATGTGTAATAGTCTTGGGCAGCAGCTGACAAGCAGGTAGACAGGATGGTTCTAATTTCAAGGTGCACCCTTATCCTTATTCAGGTCTTAACACACACACACACACACACACACACACACACACACACACACACACACACACACACACATCCATACAATCAGGACCCTTGAAAAGTCTACCCCAGAACTGCATTAGATGCAAACAAGTCAACCAATCAGATCATTGAGATGCTAATGAAACCCAGTCAGCATCAGCTGTTCCTATCTTTACTTTCTTGACAGTCTAAGTTGGGTTTTTTGTTTGTTTGTTTGTTTGTTTTTCATTTTTTCTTTCATTTCTCAAGTGAAAACAGTGGAAGTTTCTAGCCTGCATTTGCTGTTCCGTTTCTAAATCTTGTCATTGCCTGTGGTGAGGATGGATGACAAAAAGACGAGTTAATTTTATCAGCCTCCTTTGGTGGGAGTATATTGCACAGATTGTTTGCATACCTTTCACTTTCAGAAGTAATTATTCAGGCAGAAAGCATGTTTATATGCCAGAAGTTATACCCGTCTGATGGCCTGAATAATTGACTTGAGGGAAAAACAGCTTTTATTAGCCACCAATAGGTTAAAAGTCAATACAAGCCAGGCACAGCAGTTTGTAGGGTGTAAATGACAGATGGCTGATCTACCCCCATCCAGTTCACAAAATATTTACTGAGCGCTGTTTGAACAAAGCACTCAATGGGTTCTGAGCAAGGAGAAGGATTCCATCATGGGGCGTGCTGGGAACTGGTGATTCCACCTTCTTAGAATCCCTGGGGACTTTTACAACATGGAGTCTGAGCCCTACCCAGACATTCCTCCTTCCTTATTTTTGGCATGTGATTTTTAAGCCTCAAGTGTTCTTAGTAGGTGGCCAGGGTTGGAATCCACTGTTGTAATAAACAGTTCTTCACCTTGGCCTTGCTGATATTTTGAGGTAGACAATTCTTTGTCCCTAGAAGCTATCCTGTATACCACATCAAGGATGTTTATTTAGCCTTTTTCTTGAGCTTTATCCATCAGCCTTCAACTTTATCTGGCCACCGTGGATGTCCTCAGACATGGCCCAGTGTCCCTGGGACACTATAGCCCTAGAAGAGGTGAGGCACGTGCTGAGATCTCCAGTTACTGCGCTCTCTTCTTCACATGCCTGTTAGTGTCGGAAGTGCCCCCGTCAGCATGTGCAGCCCATGCAGCTGTTGCATGCTAATTAGGCTTGCACACTCTAAGGACCCATTTCTGGTGGACTAGGCAAGATTCGATTGAGTGTTGAGCTTGGAGGTTTTATAGGTGAATCTAGATTCGCGCCTCTATGAGAAAGCTGGAAGAGAGCCGATGAGCGTTCTGCAGTCATGGAGGGCAGCGGGGAGCTGGAGCTAAGGCCTGGTTTGTCCTTCATTCTTCTCTGTGTACCACAGTCCTCACCAACAGCCACCCTCATGCCTCAGCCACCTTTTCTTCCGA